CTGTCCTAAGGGATTATATTCCTTCCCATCCTATGGTTCTTCACATATCATCCTTTTTCGCTTATTGAGCAGGGCCTTTCAATTTTCACTGTTGTGAGCTATAGTGTGATGTTATCTGCCACTTTTTGGTTTCCTGACTTTGCTTGTATTTTCCAGTTGCCAGTCTTATCCATGTTGTTTCATTCCTTCCATTTTTCCTGTTCTTCCCACCCTGGTTCCCTTACAGATTAGCATCTCTATGTGATCCTCCACATTTTTCCCCATTCTCCTTTGGATCTTTTGTCTTTGTGTTCTTTAAATCACCTTTTCTTGAAATCCCTATTTCTGATCATTCCTTTATGCCCAAGACTTTGCCTGCTAGTGAGGGTACTTCTCCCTTCCCTCTTTTTCCCACCTTTATGATTGTTCCGATCCTGCCTGCCTCCTTTGCCCAGTCAGGGCTCTTTGATGGTGTATGACACATTGTACTGCTTCCTTCCATGGTTCCTGAGTTCATTTGTTTCTTCCATAAAATCCTCACCTCTCCTATGACCTTTTTCCCATTACCCTTCTGGGTTGAATTCACAAGTTAATTCGACTAGTGTTTTACTTCCCTTTCTCCTGATGATTATCACCATTTTTGTGTGTTCTTCCCATCAAATCTGCCACCTTACTATGTCCCTGGCTGCACATTTCCATCTTCCCTTGGGGGACATCATTAGGGGCTTTTATTTTATATTTGGATCCTGTTCTGTGGTGAGTGTTGCCTCACCTTGTATACTTAGTCTTAACTCCGCACTGTACGACCTGCAATCATGTACTATGCTAGATGACTGTGACGTTAAGCCTCTTCCTACTCTTTAATACACTACCATATCTTCTCGTTTATCCAGATAATTCCTTTCTCCCAATGACCTCAGCAGCTTGGAAGGATGGTCCCTCCGTTTCTTCTATTTTCTTTTCTTCCATTTCCCATATTTACTCCCAATCTGATCCAGATAGGCTTCTGTGCCTGGTCAGGGCTCTTAGTTGTTATATTGACCATACTGCTTTCTTCTGGGGTACACATTCCTGACTCCTTCTCCCCTGGCAATCCTCCTCCCTCTGTGATCTTTTACCTTCTACCCTAAGCAATTGGATCCACCTTTTGATTGGGAGCCCTAATCCTACCCTTGCATGGATGTCGGTTAGAATCACTTTCCTGCCACATTCTCTCCCACTCGGATGTGCTCCTGTCATTTTCTGCCCTTATATTTTACACATTCCACAGTTGGGCAAAGAGTATACCTGGCTCAGAAGTGGTGCAGCACGTTCCCCTTTTTTGATCTTCAGATCTGAATCTCTCATTTCCAGGCGGATTCTTCAGAATTTTTTGAGGGGTACTTCTGTCGTTCCCTCGCACCAGTTCATCCTCATTATCAGTATGGGATTCTAGCTAATCTTGTGAGAGGAGGTATTATATCAAAAGTTATAATTTTCCTGTATTGAAAATGTATTTCCAATAGATACTTACCTCGACTCACAATTTCCACCTTTCATCCTCACGTCATATCATGCTCCTATTGGTAAAGAGGTGACATATAATGATTTGCATGAGAGATGTGTTGCAATCTTGTAATTCCAAAAGGGGGGTAGTGGAAGGCTTGTTTGTATAAAGTACCTATCAGAAATACATTTTCAGTATAGGAAAATTAAAACTTTCATTAATGCCTATCTTTAAATTTAGGGGGAATTGTTATTTCTAGGATCTGTAGTCTTCCAGGCATCCCATACTCACAGTCTTCTGTTCAAAGTTTGGGGTGTTTCACATAAATGTCAGGAGCTCTTGCCCTTGTTACTCCACCACTGTGTTTTAGCATTCAGTCATTTTCGCTGTAATAACATATATCAACAGGCAGAGTTAGATTTGATCCCATAACAATTGTTTGCTGTTGTTTCTCTACTTTTTGGCTACATTTGTATTGTGTTTTACTGAGCTGGTATTTCATTGCTTGTTCCAATGGTATGATTGAATGCTATGCATTTAAAATGGCAGTGCATCATCTTCTGATGATCTACAGTTTCCAGTTTTAGCTTCTCTAGCAATAAATGCCTTGAACCCATTTATGGGAAACTTTTACTTCTCTTTGAATAGAGTTGTTTAAACATTTGTTTAACAACTAGTAAAAGCTTGGAATGGTCTGTTCTTTCATTAGGGGTGTGTCTGTGAGCCAGACTAGTTTCGGAGAATTCCACTCCTCATCAGTGACCCTGAACACTACCACCAATGATACTTCAGACCAAACCAAGTCTTTATGGTAGTGAGGTATCAAAAATCGAAATGGTGTATTTAAGTGTTTTACACACAAAAATGAAACCTATCATTCTATGGGTATTTGAAGAACTTGTAGCATTTCACCACAATTTAATTTTTCATATTGTTGCCTATCTCAGAGGGTTCATATTCCTTTTTTTTTTTTTGGTACGTCTTCCATAATGATGACATTTATTATTTAAAGCTACATAGCTGGCTGATATGTGATTGTTAGTTAGTGAAGTTTGCCTTTTTCTTTTATGTACAATTTTCATGAACAGGGCTTGTCTGCTTTTATTGCAGACTACAGAGGTGCACTTTCAGTAGCCACAGAAGTTGTGCCTCTGTTGGCCTCACTTTTTTCAAGTTATTTTTTTATTTACTTACACACACACACACATATATATATATATATACACACACACACATATATATATATATATATACACACACACACATATGTACATACATATAGATACACACAAACAAAATGTGGTTTCTCCTTCTAAGAGATCCAGTGTATGGATTCATCCAGTGAGAATTCTTGCACATCATATACATATCTATGTACTTGTCCTAGACAATATTCTCTTCTGTATGGTAGAGCTCCATGATAAGGTGTTGGTCTTTGGAAATAGAAAATAATCTTTGAACAAGACTTAAGCAGCAGTTTGCACTCAGAGTTAAATAAATTCTCAACAGGTATGTTACCATATCCCTGAGAGTCCTAAGATAAAAAATTGTTACTTCTGACAAATTTGCTATACTGTGTGAAACCATTGTGAGAATATTATTTGAGGCTATAGTCCATTAACTTGGTTACCTACACATGTATAGAGGAGCAATAATTTATTTAACTATCTCGGGGAAGATTTGATAGGGGCATGATTTCTTGATTTCTAAGATTACTGGCACCTGGGCATTTAAAGGATACCAGGACTGAGTCTTAAACTTTGATTAATATCTTCCATGTTGTAGCATATTGTGTGTCATATGATTACTATTGTGTATATCTGCAAAAACATAAGCTGTCTTTTTTTTTTCCCCTACATTGCTATGTTATTGCCTTGGGTGTATTGTCTGATACTTGGGTACCAGGACTAGGTGTTACATCTTGATTAACATCTTCCATGTTGTAGCAAATGCTATGCCACTGTTTTTTATCTTTAAGCAAGTAAGACTTCATTTTCTCTTATTTTGCTCTCTTATTGTCTAATTTATGGGATTTCACCTCAAGGTCAAAGATTAAAAATATTTTAAAAGAGTAACTGATTGTTTATTCTACAAAAGCATTTTGCATACTGTTTTTGGATTTGCATACAATTTTGAATAAAATGACACCTAACACATGCCAGTGTAAAGTAGTAGTACAAGTAGTTTTTGTACAAAAGATTGATTAAAAGTCAGGTGAGTAAGATTTACCAGATTTATCTTCTGTATAACTTTTCACCCATTGACTGAATCAAGCTGGAAGTTTTCATTTGTACTTATTTGTTTTCCTGAAATAAACATGTACTGAATTTGGTATAAGTTGGAGATTGTAGGTTTTAGATTTGTCATGGAATAACCCTACATTAAGTGGATCAAATCAACTCACCAGAAAGGGAAAAGAAATGAAATCTGACCAAATCAAATAGAAATGCCCATATGCAGAATGTTTGAAAGGGGGTTCTAATTTGTGAAATCAAAAGTCAGCACGTATTGTAAAAAGCACAGTCAGCAAGCAAAGCATGTTAATGCTATGGAGGGTCTGGGGGCATTCCCCCCTCGTAATATGTAAAAAATAGGTGCTACGCGATTAAATCTGGAAGCAATTTTACATGAAATATTGCTTAAACAATAGCATGGTTGTTCACATAAAATACACAAACACCCAATGAAAAGTCAACAAATCATCATTCTGTTGTAGCACTGCATGGGGAGGTAGAATTAAATCAGCATAAGTATGTATGTTTTATTATAGTAAAGTACTGTAATATCTACCTGCAGAGTAATTATTAATTGTTAGATTATATCATCACTATAAATTGTGTACAACAATATATGATATTAGCTATTTCAGTCACTGGCTATCATGTATGCACTACTGAAATATCATGTGAGTATGCTCCACTCTTCTGAAGTGCTTTTCCATAAATAACTTACATACAGTTTCAATATTGACAGCAGTGTCATAATTATGTATGAAAGCTAAAGAGAGACAATTATTTAAAACTCTGGATACAACTGTGATAACCAACAGTGTAATGAACATTTAATATACATTTGACTTATTGAAGAAATTTATCACCAACAAGTCACAGACACCTAATGTAAAGAATCTGGCCTACAAAAAATGACAGTAGCGATATAGCTTTGGGTTTCCAATTACAAAGTGTTAACAGAAGTTGCATGGGACTATATAAATATAACATAATTGTTTTTACATAAAAAATAGGGGTTCGGCCAAAAAAAACCTGCATATGTGCATGAGGACATTTGGATGCAAGTTTCTGATGACATATGATTTCACTTTGAGAGTGTGAAATATGTATAAATTCTAGAAAGGTTTTCAATAAGCTACTTGTGTACAGGTACATAAATCACAAATTTGTATATTTGGATAACATAACAGAAGCAAAAGAAAAGTGTTTAATAAATTTGATTGTTTGTTTAGTTTGGTTTCTATAACACACAGGCTTATTAAACAAAACAAATTATGCATTCATTGTATATCTTAATTTTATAGGCTACAATTGGAACATGTACTGGAAAAAAACCATCAGCTTTTGATTTTATGGCTAAGGCTAAGTGGGAAGCTTGGAACTCTGTAAGATCATTGTCTAAGGTAGGTTATGCACTGTAAGAATTTAATAATATTTCAACTAAAGATTTGAATGTTAACATCCATTTTGCCTGATAATTCTGTTATTTAACACTGGATTTCTCCCTCAACCAGAGGTGGACTGGTGTTTTTGTTTCTTGAAGGTATTGTGTATGATGTTGAAAAGTCTGAAATCTCCTGTATCCAAATATGCAGTCCATATGATGGTAACTGCTTTCAATCTGAAAATATGAGCAGGCAAAGAGACAGAAGGTTTCAGTGTGGCTGCACTACCTTAAGAGCAATGGTCACACACATGTTAATTGGGTTATCTCTTTTTTTATTATTATTCTCTTATCAAATTGTGCAACCTTTTTTTCATTGTGTATTTGAGGTTGGAGACCTTGTTCTTGATCTTCTGATCTGGTGGAAGGCTACTAATGCTATCACTACTGTCCATGTCAGCAACAAACCTAATTTTGAATGCTGCTACATCTTTGGTCTTAATAGATTGATTCATCTCAACAAGGGCTATAAAAAAAAAACGTTTTGACCTCTTCTATAGTGGCTGCACAGGTTACAAGATGAACATCTCGAAACCTTGCACATTCACGTAATCAAAGGAAGAATGGTGATTGATGATGACTTGATGAAGAATATCAAAGTTCCAATCATGGTAAGCATGGCTTGGAGCTGTCTACTGAAGATCTATTAGGCTTTAGTCTGAAAAACTAATGCAATAAAGGGCAAAGAACAAGAAGGTTCATTTAGTATACCTGTCAATTACACAACAAAAAGTACTCTCATTAACTATGGAGTTTCTGCTGATGATGTAGCCAGGTAAATTTATGTCCATTTTGAAAAATTTAATTTGTAATCATCATATCTTTATAAGTTTCACAATATCTGATAAATCAAAGGATTTTTGCATCAGATTCTTGTCATTAAGGTGCCTCTGGTGGAGTGAGAACTCTTGCGTAAACAAAGCATTATGGTAATACATATACATTACAAAAAATATGACTGAAATATTTTTTTTATACATTGTTATTAGAAGCTTGTGTTAAGAGTGCAACATGTGCAATGTCTCTTCACAATTTGTACCTAAAAAGAAGTTCAGGTAACATGCAGTTGCTATATGTTTATATGTTATTCTGGCATCAAAACAGAATGTTAATATGTATAGTTTACATGTAGTGATCTTTAGACACAGAAAAAAAATCATAAGTATATGTATTTGAAAAGGAAATGCTAGTTTCTTCTCATAATAACTGTATATAACAGGTCTACCATGTTATTTTAAGACTTATATTGATAAAAACAAACTTGTTCATATTTATTTCTTGTTCAAGTCAATGTATTTTTATCTAGGAGCCCATTCAACACTGTTATTGTTCAAACTGTGAAAGGCATCAGTGGACAGTTCTCAACTGAAATTTCACATTGTCTTCTTCCTTCAACCATAATCAGTGCAAAATGTTTTACTACAAAAAGCTTTCATTTGAAAACTCTAAGCTCTCCTAATAAAACAGCATAGCTGGGGTCCACATATGTAGAAATTATTAAAGTTCTGCCAGCACTCTTTGACTTTATCCATGATAATAGAAATAAGAATTGCCATATGAAAATATAACTGAGTAAGGTATCCAAACACTATTAATTACAACTTTTTGTTTCTTTTTAAATAACATATCTTTAATCAACCCTACTTTTTAGACAGTTTTGTATATAATTCCTTCATTTTTGACTAGAATTCACAGTAATTACTCCTACACAACAAAGTTCAAACCACTTATGTCAGATATGCTCTCCCTACCTATCCAAAGTAAAGAAAAGATACAACGTTGCCTTAGTGACTTAAAAACAAAAACATTATTGTTGACAATGCATTCAACCAATTATATCCTTGTGGATTGTGACCTGGTATAATGTATGGCCTCCCTAAGGTTCATAAACAGAAATGTCCATTACATCCTATACTTTCTGCAATCAGTACGCACAGTTATAAAGCAGCTAAATTCCTTGTACCTATTCTTAAACCACTAACAATTAATTTCATTTGTTAACGAGTTAAAAGATCTGCACCCCTCCCAATGAATGTTTTATGGCTAGTTTTGATATAAGTTCTTTATTCACAAACATTCCATTTGGATGAGACCATTGACATTTGTTTGGAAAAACTCTTTCAAGAGGAGTCTCTTGTTTATGGCTTAACTATAGAACAATTTAGATCTTTAATTATTCATTCTGTAAAGAACAACCATTTTGTATTTAATGGAAAACTAATTGACCAAACTGATGGAGTGGCGATGGGATCCCCACTAGGACCAACTCTAGCTAACGTGTTTCTGAGCCACCATGAACAATCTTGGTTGAACAACTGACCACAGAAATTCAAACCAATATTTTACAAATGCTACGTTGATGACATTTTCAACATTTTTTGATCAAAGGATGAAGTTCAACAGTTTCTTGAGTATTTAAACTTGTAACACTCATCTATACAATTTACATAATAGCACAGGCAAGAATCAATATATAGCATTAACATATATAACTATTCAATCACAATTGAGTTTTAATTTATCCTATTTTTGCCTGCTAACATTCTACTACACTGTGTGCCTGTGCTATTATGTAAATTGTATAGATGAGTGTTACAAGTTTAAATACTCAAGAAACTGTTGAACTTCATCCTTTGATCAAAAAATGTTGAAAATGTCATCAACGTGGCATTTGTAAA